AAAATGAATGATATGAGACAAACAGTTTTATGGACAGAAAATATGTTATGAAACTTTCTAACCTACAAATATCCAGTTTACCATATGTAATTTCACTATAATTAACAGATGCATATTGAAATAGAAAATATTTGGGTAAAATATACCATCGTTTGGATAGTCGAGAAATTTTAGATTTTGATCCTCATATTACAATTCAATATCAGCAACTGCTAAGCTCTCAGAAGTGCCAAAGGGCTCTCCAGACAAAGAGTGTCAGAAATTTCCGACAACACTGCTATATTGAGATGTCAGAAATTTCCGACAACACTGTTATATTGAGATGTCAGAAATTTCCGACAACAGTACCAATGTGAAATGTCAGAAATTTCCGACAACACTGTTGAGATGTCAGAAATTTTCGACAACAGTACTAAATTTCTGACAACACTGAGAATGACCATGACAAAATCTTGGTAAGAACTGTCCTCACTTCTATTAAAAGGTGCATTTTAGTGCAAACAAATAAATGTTTTCTACATGTAGCAACTAAAAAAAAAACTGTAATACCTCTATCCAATTTACAGAAAATGATAATGAATTTTGTCAAGAGAAAATTAGCAAATTAAAATATTAAAAAAGGCTTTTTTTATTGTTGTATCCCAGTGGCATGAACCAATAATAACAAATCAGAGCCACATTCATTAAAACAAAATGGACGTCAGTCGGCCATTTTGAATCTTATCTGAAAAACAAAATTATTTGCATCAAGGTCCCATAAGGTCTAATGTATATACCAAGTTTGAACAAAATCCATTTGTAAACAGCCGAGAAATGCTTGATTTTTAGGATTTTTTAGCACAAAAATGGCCGCCATTCGGCCATCTTGGATCAGATCGTGAAACAAAATGATGTGCATCAAGGTCCTATACTGTCTAATGTATATACCAAGTTTGAACAAAATCCATCTGTAAACAGCCAAGAAATGCTTGATTTTGATGATTTTTACCACAAATGGCCGCCATTCGGCCATCTTGAATCAGATCATGAAACAAATTGATGTGCATATGTATAATATCATGTATGATGTATGTGTGAAGTTTGATTGTGATTGGTTCAGGCATTTCTAAGATACAGGTCCAGACGCACGCACAGACGCACACACGCATGCACACACGGACACACGGAGGTCAAAACATAAGTCTCCGTTTTCGGACTGCGTCCGAACGGGGACTAATAAACATGTGAGAAAATGGAATATATTCTTTTATTTGACTTCCATAATTAATGAAACAACTGAGATTCTCACCTGTCAAGCCCAGTTTCTCTTCGAAACACATTTTCACCGAACTCATACTGAGTTACATTCGTGACATACATCTTCACTAATGGGTAAGTCGATTGTAGTTTTCTGATGATGTCTATGTGTAAAGCAGGACCTTTCCCCCAAAATATGTTAAAATTCGGTTTCGAAACACCCTGGAAAAGATTGTTACTCTGTGCCCTGATTTGATTCTTGATTGAAGCGTGGGAGATGATCCTGGCGGTAGTCTTTTTACCGACATCCGCGGAGAACTTTTCCGTTGGATGGTCATTCATTCTGATCACGCACTGGAATGAGTCGATCTCAGCCCCGGCGGCCTTCCCAAGTAAATGACCCGATGCTGTGATAACTGCGCATGCGTTGCAGTGGAAATCGAGTGTCTGAAACGATAAATGCGAGATGTAACATCCTTAATTGATTGATATGCCGAAGTCTTGGAATGATTTTATCGAATCAAATTAAGGTATAGATGCAGGTTCGTGGGCACTTGAGAGTGAATTTTCTTTTTTTTTTTACTTTTTATTATCCAAACAGTCTTGGCTATAGACTGTTAAAATTTCACAGCATTGTGAATATTGCAACATACTCAAAAGACGATTTTAAAATATAGAAACTGGTACAAACATTCTCTCTTTTGAATGCTTAGCAAGATTTAGCAAGGCTGTACATAAATAATCAAAAAGAAAAATGGTGAAAAAAAAGTAATGACGGGATCTTCATATTATGCACTATGTTTAACTTTTTACAAAACAATAGGTTTAAATTTGGAATTGTTACAGCCATTTTAATTATGAGCATTAGCAAACTTCTTACTGAGTGAATGATTATGCAAAATAGCCATTATCTCCACCCGTGTTTTTCAGATTACCATGGAAGTTCAAATCTAAATAGCTCGCACAATTCTTGTTTATTTTGAGTGAAACTTTCACACAACGTTTATCAGTTGTTTATTAACAAATGGGCGTCCAGGCGTATATTTAGTATGTTTTGTTTTCATATTACGAAGTTGTCAAGCAGGATGTGTGCCGTATAGTCAATCCC